ATTAGCCCTGCGAGGAGAAGTAAAGCAGCTGCAACTCCTCCCGCTTCCGAATCCCAGCCTGATTTGTTTGAACAGCTCAGCCCAGTGCGCCAGCCAACACGGCCCGCAACAACATCCCCCTTACCCCAGGCCAGCCAAAGCCTACCATCCAAACACCTGCCTGTGCGTCCAAAGGCTCCGCTACGGGAAATCCCCCAGGTTTCAGCTGTAGCTCTTGCGTCCTCACACAGTCATCGTCAGAAGGGTTCAGAAGCCTTTAGGAGAGGTGATTATGCTGCTGCCCATGCATCATATTCTTCCGCCATTTCTGAGCTTCCAGAAAACCACCCCATTATGGTTATTCTTCTCTGTAACCGTGCCCTGACAGGGCTTAAAGTTGGTGAGCCAAAATCAGCAATCAGAGATGCGGATACAGCCATCTCAATCATTGGCCCGTCCAAAGGCGAGTCAGAAAAAATCGATCTAGGGAACGGAGAACCAAGCAAAGACATGAGGGAAGTCTTTGGCAAATCGTTAATGAGGAAAGCTGAGGCATTAGAGCAGCTTGAACGGTGGGCGGAAGCTGCGCAGGTCTGGCGAGATGCAGTTGAAGCAGGCCATGGTGGTAGCACCAGCATCCAGGGACGAAACAGGTGTGAAAAGGCGGCTGGTATATCTCAGCCAACCTCACGAACATCAACTCCGGCGACTTCTACTCGCCCACGACCACTCGAGAAGCCGGCGACTCCCTCAACTAGACCCACGCCCACGAACACACATACTGCCAAGCCAACTGAGGCAGTTAGTCGCCTCCGTGCAGCCAACGAGGCAGCAGACCGAGCTGATAATGAGAAATTCGCCCTCGCGGATTCTGTAGAGGCACGCATAGCAACGTGGAAGGGAGGGAAACAGGATAACCTGCGGGCTCTTTTAGCAAGCCTGGATACCGTTCTATGGCCAGAGGCCAGTTGGAAGAAGATCAGCATGTCTGAGTTGATTCTGCCCAACAAGGTTAAGATCCAGTACATGAAAGGAATTGCAAAGGTGCATCCAGATAAGGTACTTTTTATGGCATTTCCATCCACTTCAATTGTTTCTGCAATCATGCGATCTTTTTTACTGATTTTCCTCTCCCTCTTTTTACTTGAGCAGATACCTGTGAATGCAACCACAGAGCAAAAAATGATTGCTGGATCTGTTTTCAACGCATTAAACGAAGCATGGGATAAATTCAAGCGCGAAAATGCACTTTAGAATGGATCCCGGCCGTTTTTCTATTTCTCACATCTTTGGGATACAAAACCGTTCGAATTGATTTTGTGCATGTTCTCTTCACGGTCCTACGAGGTCCCTCTCTGCCCACAATTGTTCTAGACTACAGCATTTCTCCTTTCCTGTACCATGAAAAACTGAGATATCAGCTTCTTGCCCTGCTCTGTAGTTGGATTGTTGAGCGTTTTAATTCTTCCACGAAGATAATGAAAATAGACGTCTATAGGTTTTGGTGTTCATTTCTGGCTCCTCTCTTAATTGAAATCAAGGCTTTTTGGTGAGATTTATCTGCCTTTCGAGCAAATAAACCAACTCTTAAATTCTGAGGAGTGAGTCAGTTCTCCATTTGATTCTGGGTGCGTGTCCCCCATCCCCCCTCAAAAAAAAAAAAAAAAAAAAAAAAAAAAAAGAAATAGAAGAGGTTGTAGGAGCCCCCCCTTGGTATGATTATTCTATACATGTTAGATATAGTACATTTGCCAGAGACTTCGATAAATCATTTTTTCTCCGCCTCCTTCGTCGCTTTCCTCTGAGCTTTAGCTTCCCGTTTCAGCTGCTTTTTGCTCTTCGCTCCGGTCGTCGTCCCATCTGCGACTCCCGGTTTCGCAACAGACGGCCATTGTTCCCGACACCGCTTCTCTTCATCTTCGGACCATGCAACGGGCAAAACGGCAAATACAAGATATGATGTGTGTGTCTTGAGGTCCGGTTCGGAGCGATGGATTACGTGTCCCTGCTTGTAGGCTGGCACCGGGGACTCCAGAGGCGTTGTTTGTTGTAATTGTAATTGGCCAGATAGGAGTGAGGAGGTAGTGTTATCGTGGTCGTTATTGTTCTCTTCTATATCCACCATCCTGACGACTTTGTTATTTTCAGCACCGTTGCCACCCTGTTCATTCTCATTCTCAGTTTCCTCTTTCGAAGTAGTCACGGGCTCACTATCCGCCTCGCTCTGTCCCTGGCTGGAATGGAAAGCTTTCCCCCGCTCTTCAATGGATCGAAGCCTCTCTATCGATTCCTCCACGTCCCGAGGACCGGGAATGGTACCCCGACCTTTCTCACCTTCAGTCCCATAACGTTCTCTCCGCACCTCAATAAACCGATGCGCTATTTCAACCATCGATATAGATATCCAGTCATGTTGCCGCATTGCACTAATTGTCCGCTGAACTTGTTCCAGACACGGTGAGAAAGTACATATATGAATTGGCGACGACGGGTCAAGGGGAGAAGGTGATCCGTCCGCTGGTTCTCGAACAAGATGCTTCAGTGCATGCCAGGGGGCTGGGAGGTCTAAGAATATAGCGTTGGCTCTGGGAGATTCGCAGGCAAAAGCCTCCCGGAGCAAAAATCCTTCATTATAGACGTCTCGGTGGTTCACGTGGACGATACCTTCCAGACCATGGTCGCGAATCTCTTCGCGAACTTTCATCGCCCGTTGCGCATGGAATTCGAAGCTGTAAACTTTACCCAGACGCTTGTTCCTTTCCGTATCTGTTTGTGAGGGGTATCCGTTAAATACGGCTCTAGCAGCGGCATGGGTGAATGATCCGCTTCCTGCACCTGCTTCTATAAGTGTGCTTCCAGGCCTGGCACGTATCCGGTGTAATATATAACTGTAATCGGGGGTATATACCACTTGGGTTCGGTGGGGGAGGGAGGCAGTCCAAGACTCGGGGGTGGGGGGAAGAAGGTGAATGAATCCGCTGGCTGCTGCAACGGCAGCCTTGGGAGTTATTCGTTTCGCATCCGTGTTCTCATCATCGTCGTAATCACCATTGACTTCCGAAGCATCTATTTCGTCCGCTCTCCTTTTTAATGTAGTAGCTTGTTTCTTTGTTAAGCGCCCGCGCGAACCTGTGTCGACTTTCGACGCAACTATCTGTGAACCCCAAGGTTGACCGATTAATGTGCTGTGTGGAAATGAACCGAAGCGCGTGTTGGTCACTTTCCCCTCGTCGTATCCTAGGTTTTCGTCATCGTGAGCTCTGAGTACTACGGGCATCAGAAGTTTGCGCCTCAAGTGCAGGACGGCGAGAGAGTCTGCCTGGGCCGTTGAGCCCGGGGTGAGGAACGGCGACGCCATGGCACGGTAAAGGGCAAAATGCTAGAGAGTGAGAGATGGGGGATGGGAGAATACGATGCTAAGCAATTCATCAAAACGGGTTGCTCTCCTATGTCGAAATTAAAAAATAAATAATAAAAAAAATATAAAAAAAAAGGTCAATCAAAGATTCATATCTGAACCAGAGATTAAATTACCGTAGACAAAAGAGAAAATTAAAAATGGATTTGGTCAAATAGGGTTTAGGGCTTACCCAGCTGCTCTGAAGCTTCAAATCAAGTGAAGTGCGCTTGTTGCATCAAGATCGGGCAGTCACTGTCAGTCAGCCGCCACAGTCGAATATCCCCCGTCGCTATTTCTTATTTATACCCCGCGCTTCACCTCCTCTCTTCCTCCTCTCTTCCTCCTCTCTCCTCCTCTTCCTCCTATCCTTACAATCTGCGGCTTTGCGCGCCTCTCATTTATGAATATCTTCTTTCGCAGAACTTTCTTTTCCAGCTACTTTGACTTGGCCCAGCAACGCTCTAGAGCTCCCCGTCTCAACATCTCCGCAGTCAGAGTCGCCGCCATGTCGACTACCCGCCAGCAACCGCCCTGGAACCAGCCTCAGCCGCATGCCGAATCTGCATCCCGTCTGCCTCCATTGAAGATTTACAACTCCCTAACTAGATCGAAAGTCCCGTTCGTTCCCCTCGACCCTAGCGGCCGCAAGGTTACCTGGTATGCCTGCGGTCCAACAGTCTACGACGATGCACATCTTGGTCATGCCAGAAACTATGTCAGCAATGATATTCTCCGGCGGATAATGCGTGACTATTTCAATTTTGATGTTCAATTCATTATGAATATTACGGATGTGGATGACAAGGTGCGTGGGAAATTCAGCCCATGCTTTTGGAGTCTGGCGCACGGGCTGATTTATGTTCCCGGTCGTGTACGTGTAAGCTCTGTGTATTAGATTATATCAAGAGGACGACAGCAACATTTTTTCACTGAATATGTGAATTCACACCCATCAATTGATGACGACGTTCTTTCAACCGTTCGTGCAGCATTTGCAGCTTACTTGGAGAAAAAACTCCCACTACTGGAGGCTGGACTCACCCCGGAGCGCTATAGTGGCGAGGTAGAGAAGGTTTACGCGGCCATCCTGAATGGTGGAGCTCTTGATGGTAGTGGAAAGCCTGGAGATGATGAAGCGAAAATAAAAATGCACATCAAGACTGCGGCTTCCGCAGCTAATATGCTCTCCAAAATCGCTACCTCAAAAGAAAGCATCCTCAGTGAGACTTTCTACAAGAATGTCCAGGATGTACTTCTTGAACACCTGGATTCCCTTTATGGATCATCGATACGCGGAGAGGATCGTTCAATTTTCACCAAGTTGACGAAAACGTACGAGGATCGCTTTATGAAGGATATTCGCGATCTAAATGTCTTAGATCCTGATGCCGTTACTAGAGTAACAGAATACATGCCCGAGATCGTACAATTCGTGGAGAGAATAGTTCAGCATAAATTCGCCTATGTAACCTCTGATGGCTCCGTTTATTTTGATATTACCGCATTCGAGGCTTCAGGGAACAGTTATGCCAGATTGGAACCGTGGAATCGGAATGATACTAAACTTCAGGCTGAGGGAGAAGGCGCCTTGATAAATAGGACAACAGAGAAGCGATCACCAGCAGATTTTGCCTTGTGGAAGGCGTCAAAAGCTGGTGAACCTAGCTGGCCTAGTCCATGGGGTGATGGTCGCCCTGGTTGGCACATTGAATGTTCAGCCATGGCATCTGCCAAGCTTGGTAAACAGATGGACATCCATTCTGGTGGAATTGACTTGGCGTTTCCACATCATGACAACGAGTTGGCTCAAAGTGAAGCTTATTGGCATGAAAATTGTGCCCAAAATCACTGGGTCAACTACTTCCTTCATATGGGCCACTTATCCATTCAGGGATCCAAAATGTCAAAATCACTCAAGAACTTCACTACCATCCGAGAAGCCCTTGACAAAGGAGATTGGACCCCAAGAAGCCTTCGTATTGTTTTCCTGCTAGGTGGATGGAAGGATGGAATTGAAATAACTGAGGATCTCGTCAAGGCTGGAAATGCCTGGGAGGAGAAAGCTAATAATTTCTTCATCAATGCTAGAGACTCAGTTGCACAGGCAAACAGTGATGCAGGCTCAACGGATGACACTCTAGCGACTGCACTTAAATCTGCCCAAGATGCCGTCTATCAAAACTTGTGCGATTCCTTTAACACCGCTGGAGCTATGCATGCGATTTCCGAACTTATCTCCAAGTACAACATCTCCAATAAATCCACGTTACCGGTTAAGGACGTCCAGGAAGCCGCAGTGTGGGTCACATCGATGGTCAACATATTCGGTCTCAACGGTAGCGCGTCACCTGTCATAGCTGAAATCGGCTGGTCAGGCATCGATATCCCCGAAGTTTCAAAACCGTATCTCTATCCACTATCCACTATGCGAGATTCACTTCGAGAAGCTGCCAGATCGAAATCAGGCATATCAGAGGAGGCGATAAAGTCGATCGTTGAGAAGGGAACCACAGTAGTTAAACAAACGTCAGACGTATTCGAGGAAGCGGAAGTATACAAAAGCCTCCTTTCTGACTTCTGCACAAAAATCTCCTCTCTCAAGCAAACCGACTCCGTTTCAAAGGAAATCCTTTCCCTTTGCGATCGCGTCCGTGACATAGACTTGTTTGATCTTGGCATCTACCTGGAAGACCGTGATAATCAGCCAGCCCTCGTTCGTCCCGTCACCAGAGAACTCATCCAAGCACGGGAGGAGAAGGCCGCCCGGGCCCACCAAAAGCAGATCGAGAGAGAAAATAAAGAAAAAGAGTCGCTTAAGAGGGCTGAGAAAGGTAAAATCAGCCACCTGGACATGTTCAGGACCACTGAGTATAGTGCGTGGGATGACGATGGTATTCCCACCAAAGATGCGGCTGGAGAGGAGGTTACTAAAAGCAGAAGTAAAAAACTGAGGAAGGATTGGGAACGACAGAAAAAGGCACATGAAGCGTGGTTGGAAAGTAATCGGGGAAATTTCTCATGAATAAAAGCTCTTGTTTCTTTTTTTTTTTTTTGTTTTATTATCATCTATTTGATAATGAAACCATTTTTTTGAGAACTTTTTTTTTGCTGTTGGTATAAGTTCCTTTTTTTATTTTTAATTTTAATTTTAATTTTTTTTTTGGGGGGGGGGCGGCGCGGGAGGGGAATATCTTCGACAGACTTTCAGACTTTGCAAAGGAGGGCATTGGACACTTCGGCCACGATCCGACACATTTTGACGTGAATATTCGATTATACGTCACATAGCAGTCTGGTGCGGTGAACTTATTACGTCCTCCCCAAAGGAGGATTCGCAATTTAATGCATCCCACGCGTTCCAACAGACAATTAGTCCGTTCCCTTGAACTCCCTAAACTCCGAACTGGTAGTTACGCAGCCCAGTTTTGTATCATTCACCTCGTGTCTTCTAGATTGGACTCTTTGTGGAATCGGTTCGAGGATGCCCCGCACACAGACCCGTCTAAAACTGGGTATCCACATGTTACATGCCGAACGAGCTTCTCGGCTCCAAGTCTTGACTCCTACAAATTCGAATCATGGCCCGTTCTGAGCTGAACTTATTCATACAAACATTGACATCTTCTGATCCAGCTCAAGGCACTCTGCTATTAACTGGGATTTATATTTATCTCCGGTTAGACTCCAATGGGGTTTTCGTGGTAATGTATTTGCAAAGGATTCATAAGGGATGGGAGATTCTGTCTTCGCACCCTTTGATCAAGGTTAAGTAAAATATCTCTATCTGCCTCAAAATCTAGAAATAACCCATTATATTTATTTCGCCCTTTTATACCATCCTAACTAAGCAAAATTCTCAAATTCTCACAACTCCTACAACCCCCCGCGTCTGGCCTATTTCAGGCTGTCCAGCGGGCTTGGCCATGAAATTACCCTTCAAGCGCTCAAGGGGGAAGATGAAGTTATCGCCACTGCCCGGAATACCTTCAGGCTGACTTCATTGAAAGATGGAGGGCATCTACGCTTGAGATCGATGCAACATGGAGACCTTTCCAAAATAAAAGGGTCGCAGCTTCGGCACAAGCGATATACGGATGGATAGACATTTTGGTTAACAATTCAGGGTTCGTTATTTATGGAGTAGCTGAGGAGTCTACGTAAATTTATCCTCAGACATGTTTCATTGGGGACGGCCATTCTTGATTTTTCAATTCCTCCTATTCCCAAACTTAGCCAAAAAAACATGCTGTCCATCTTCAACATAAATGCCTCTGGCCACCTCAACACGGTGCGGTCCTCTGCGCGCTACATGCGAGCCCAGAATCAGGCGTGATCACCAACGTCCCAAACGTCGGCGGCTAGGTTAGTAGTCATGAACGAAGTTCGTCCTATCCAGCATCTCTGAATCATTGACCTCAAGAGCTAGCGCCTTGCAGAATTAAATAGTGTCATTTGTATCGAACCACGTTACTTTCGTGCCAAGCTCTGAACCCAAGGAAGCATTTCTCTTCATAATCAACGACTCTAATCTCTTCTGGAGTATTTTCAAGCACTTCAAAACATGTCTGCAACTCTCAAGTCTCAGATATTTGATGATGATCTGAATGATTTTCTGAATGATGACAATATCTTGGGAACTCAGCATGATTATGTAATCCACTTCCCGTTTCCCAAACCTAACTTCCAAGCCTCATTATTACTTAATTCCACTTCATTCCACTTCATTCCTGACTGAGTCTCTTTGTTTCGTATGTATCACTCACTGTGCTTCTTTTCGGTAACAGAGAGTTTGAGTTCTTGCGATAGCTGAGTTTATTGAAGACTCTTTCTGTGACCAACCAGCTCAAAGGCAGCTAAGCCAATTTTGCTCGTTTCCAGAGAGTACACCGTATTACCTCCCTCAGCTGGGAATCAGATATTTACAATATAATACCCTCTCTTCCGGTCGTTTATAAGAATACCCGCAAGCATCTTAGTCTTACCTTATTTCTCTTCATTCTAGAAATCACAGGTTAATTCGTTTTCTGATACGCTCAAGTCATTCTGAACCCTTATTCAGGGGCCCCAATTCAACATTGAACACTACAAAAATAATCTGGTCTTTCATTTCTCTATTCCTTCATTAATCTTTCCTTTATAACCTCAAACGACACAACCTAGCTTCACCACTATATATGGGGCATATGCTCCTATCATTCAATGGCTCTGGGGTCGTTGGCGTCAGCAACTCAGCCTCCTTCAACTGATCCAGTCAGCGGAACTCCAGAGGATAAAGTCCGCAGCTTCATTACCAATATACTGGATTCGATCGTAAATGAATTAGCGAGAGTGGACGGATGCCCATCAATCACTCTAAAACGGCGCTCAAAGGATGCCCGCTTCTTCTTGAATCCAGAAACAGGGTCTCTGGATTGTGACACTGCTGAGCCCTCCTGCACCTATTTCTGGCCTGGCAAAACTGTGCAGGAGGGCTGGAGATTTGGTAGGACACTCTCTCCATCCTGGTGTTCATTTCCATCTTACAACCATTCCTGATTTTTTGTCTGTCCATTATCAATATGAACATGATCTCATTCTTTCATTCTATCGTCCAGCCATTCTTCTACGGATCATGGGCCATATCTCAGAGGCCATCCACGGTAACTTCATAAGCTCAAAGCGGGATATTTACTATCTTGACCCAGTATACTTCGGATCCCAGAGCGTGGTGGATCGATGCATCGACGACCTTGCTTGCACAATTGGTGTGGACAGGTCAGCTTTACACGTGGTACATATTTGAACCGGATTATTTCATTACCACAGAAAATAGGAACTCTTTTCGCTGATTGATTCACAATACCAGGCAGCAGCAGCGAAAGGCCTTGCCGTGGGGAGATTTAACGTTACTCTCAATGATAATTCTACGATAGATGCAGACCTTCACGCTGAGGTTGTATTCCTCTGAACCGTTTACCTTCAAGTATATTAAAAAATTTTAGGGTATGCTTGTTCCTAGGGTGGAGACGGTCAAGAACGTCGATTTATCAGCTGTTCGATGGATCCTGGTTATCGAGAAAGAGGTATATGTATATCTATGCGCATCCAGCTTTTCCCGCAGCTTTTGAGAGAAAGCAGCTGCTGACAAATGCCACTTGCAAGGCAACATTTCGCCGCTTGGCAACTGTTAACTACCACAAAACCTCTGCTGCCGGACCAGGCATCATGATAACAGTAAGGATGATATGTTTCCTACTTCTCAGCTCCCCTATCACTAGGTTTCTCTTTTCCTTCCAGCGGTAAATAATTCAAAACAACGGTGTAGGGGAAAGGCTACCCGGACCTCTGCACTCGAGCATTCCTCCGCTTACTATCCCATACCCTTCCCTTGCCATCGGTATTGGGAACATTGCCATCTTCACCACCCCCTATTTACATGTTCGTCGACAGTGACCCGGACGGCATGGCCATCATGTCCACCTATAAATACGGTTCAAGGGCGCAGGCTCATGAAAACAACAATCTCACCGTCAGCGACATCCAATGGTTTGGTCTGCGATCTTCCGAAGTTGTATCCAGGTTAGATGCACACATACAGGACGATGACGTTCTAATACCGCTGACTTTGCGGGACAGAAAGAAAGCGCAAGATATGCTGGCGCGAAACCCTGTTTTCGCAGAGGATGGGCCGGAGCCGACGTGGAGGGCGGAGTTGCAGCACATGCTTATGTCGAATGTCAAGGCGGAGATCGAGGTGCTGTATGAGAGGGAGGAAGGAGTAGAGAGGTGGCTGGATCTGAAGTTGAGAAAGCTTCTTTGAGGTAGTTCTCTAAGTGTTAGGGTGTTCTGAGCCTTTGTGATTCGACAGGAGTGTAAGGCATTGTGAGACTACACAACAGAAACAGAAAAACGATATAATTACACGCGAAAGAACCAGATTGATCATATCCATTTTATAATAATAAAAGATATTCATAGAACTCCAGCCCCGCTTAAACAAAAATGAAAAAGAGCTCAATCAATCTGTCTATCAACAAAAGATGAAAAAAATAAAAATAAAAACAATGGTCCCTCCCCTCGCAAAGGGTGATTGCAAAGAAGCGCCCATTATCCCATGTCATATGCAAGCATCCCATTTCTTCCATAACACATTAAAAATCAAAGACCCAAGCTCCTCCTCACCTCCCCCCGAACCCTTCTCTCATACTCTTCCCTCTGATCCCTCCACATCTTAGCCGCCTCCAGATTCGCCGGGCTCTCATCATTCGGCTCCGCAAGCATACTCATAACCGAAATGAGAATCTTTTCGACAGACTGGATGGGGCTCCAGCGCTCCGAGGCGTGCTCGTAGTGGTTTGGGTCGTCACCGGGGGGGTGGAGGATGGAGATGCAAACGGTGCCGTTGGGGTATACTGTGGTGCCATAACAAGGAAGGAGAAAAAGCAGTCAGTCACTTGCACTTTTTGAGCAAAATAAAGAAGGGAATTGCATCCGTCCAATCTCCCAACTAGATAGATAGCAAAGTGCATTATTTTGCTTTTTGAGTGGGCGCAGTTGCGCATACCGTTCGGATGCCAGACACCCCCGCCCAGAAACCTCATCATGGGTGGGCTAAGTGGATAATCTCTGGGAAACTTGAGTTCAGCAGCAAAGACACCGTTCTCAAAGGGTGTGCCCTCGGGGCCCTGGATTAACGCTTCCCACAGGAACAAGTCATCTTCGCTGATAGGACCGGCAGTGATGCCGTCCGGGGGATTTGTGCAAAGCAGCTTGTATTCGTGGAAGAGGCGCTTTTGCGCGACGGAGGTTGCCATCGCCAGTTATTTTCTGTGGTTTCTGAGGTTTCGCAGTTGAAGGACAGGATTCGTTCAGCGATGTGATATGCGGTGGCGTGTTTTTGTAACCGAAGATCCCCAAGCTCCACACTATTAATAAGTTGTCAAATGTACGGATACAGAGTTACAGCTTGTTACCCCTTGGTCTGTGCACGAGCTGATTACATAAGGTAACGCATTAGTTTCATGTACACCTCGCTAAAAGGCTTGGCCCTCCTTTCCACGTGACCTGACCCCAATAGAACATTCGTTTAACTAGTTAATTACTAAGTTCGTTATTAACTTCCAGATTCCAAATATCAGTGTCTTGATCGCTTTGAATCTTTTGCTTGATCGATTTGGATCTTGATACAGATTCCAAATGACTTCATCGGCTGTTTGTTCATATCTTCATTAGAAAATAAGGAGTTGGGATGGTTAGCAGCTTGTGCATCCACATTCTCATCTTCCTTTAAGCTAGGTACCTAGGTAAATGAATCAAGCTAACAACCAAACTTGTCCACTCAAACAATCAAGGAATGGATCCCCTGCAGTAGTGGCGACGCCGACTTGCAATATTTAGGCATCTCTTAAATAAATACCAGTCCGGGGGCCGACAGAGTAGTGCGCCTCTTTCTCCAACACTGTTTCTATAGGGTAGCTCTTTTTCTGTTCCTGTGGGAGAAGAATACCGCCCACTGTCGCTGCAAATATGTTGAAGAATATATCTCCAATCAATGGCAACAACCGTACCCTCGAGACTGACGAAAAGACCGACTATTCAAGATGGCGACTGCGTGACGACCGTGGCCGACAAACCTGGCACTATCTCAAGACTGACGAGGAATTGAAAGCATGGCCGCAGACCGTTGCTGACAGGTATCATCTTGGGCTCCCGACTGTCTGTAATACCGTTTATTCTCCTCTATATACATACATTGGGGCATACTGATGGATCTTGAATAGGGGCTTCCTGAGCTCCCTCCCCCCAAGAAACCGCTGGACGCAGCATCCAATGCCCTCTCTTTCTTCTCAAAACTCCAACTCGAGCCTGGCAATTGGGCCTGTGAATATGGCGGCCCAATGTTCCTTCTCCCGGGCTTGATCGTTACCTGGTACGTTACAGGTACTCCAATACTCCCTGAATATGCGATAGAGATCAAACGGTACTTGTTCGCGCGGCAACACCCGGAAGATGGAGGCTGGGGTTTGCATATCGAGGGTCACAGCTCTGTGTTTGGCACCTCCATGAACTACACTGCTTTACGCATCCTGGGTGCAAGTGCGGAGGACCCCAGAATGGTGAAGGCTCGTGGTATGCTGCACAAACTTGGTGGTGCCTTGTTTGCTCCCCATTGGGCAAAATTTTGGCTTAGTGTCCTGGGAGTGATGGGGTGGGAAGCTGTTAACCCTGTCCCACCAGAACTTTGGTGAGTTTCCATGTTAACCCTCATATCCATCAACATATTTCTTGGCTAACTTTTAATCAGGCTGCTCCCAGACTGGGTCCCCTTTGCGCCCTGGAGATGGTGGATACATATGCGTCAAGTTTTCCTTCCTATGACGTACATATATTCGAAGAAATTTAGCCACCCACCCGACGATTTTACTCGACAACTCCGGGAAGAGATTTATACTCAACCCTATGAGTCGATTAATTTTGCTTCTCATCGTGGCGCTATAGCTGATGCCGATAACTATTACCCAAAGCACTGGCTTTTGAACCTTCTCTTTTGGTTGATTGCAAATATCTGGAATGTCCTTCGATGGCCATCCTTGATCAAACGCGCAGAAGACTGGGTGTGGGAGTTGATAACAATGGAAGATCAAAACACGGATTATGCTGGTCTAGGACCAGTGAATGCGCCAATGAACACTCTTAGCTGTTTTATCCATGATGGACCGGGTAGCTACACTGTTCGTCGACATCTGGACCGGTTGCACGACTACATGTGGATGAAAAACGAAGGCATGCTTATGAACGGCACTAATGGAGTACAAGTCTGGGATACGGCATTCATTATTCAGGCAATCCATGTTGCTGGTTTTGCTGATGATCCAAAATGGCGTCCTATGCTTCTCAAGGCTCTAGAGTTCTTGGAGGACCACCAGATGCGAGAATGTGTACCTCAACAAGAGCGCTGCTACCGCCATAGGACGAAAGGTGCCTGGCCGTTTAGCAATAAAACGCAGGGATACACCGTCAGCGACTGCACTGCGGAAGGTCTTCGGGCCGCACTGCTGCTTCAGAAAGTCCACGGGTTTCCCCAGTTAATATCCGACGAAAGATTGAAAGATGCGGTCGATACTCTAATTTCTATGCAGAATAAATCGGGAGGTTTTTCAGAGTATGAAAATACTCGGGGTTCTCCTTATCTGGAGTGGCTCAACGCTGCAGAGGTCTTTGGTGGCATCATGATTGGATACGATTATCCTGAGTGTACAACCGCTGTCCTTACTGCTCTATCCTTCTTCAGCAAGTTCTTCCCGGATTATCGTACAAAGGAAATCGAGAGAGTAAAACTCAAAGCAGTAGAATATATTCGCCGCGTCCAGCGCCCTGATGGGAGCTGGTATGGAAGCTGGGGTGTCTGTTTCACCTACGCTGCCATGTTTGCACTGGAAAGTCTTGCCCATGTTGGCGAAACATACGAGACCAGCGAACTGGTTCGCCGGGGTTGCCAATTCCTAGTTGACAAACAAATGGAAGACGGCGGCTGGGGGGAGTCGTATCTCAGCTCCGAGCAGAAGGTGTACACGCACTATGAAACATCGCAGGTTGTGCAGACTTCCTGGGCCTGTCTTGCGCTGATGGACGCCGGATATCCAAACAAGGAAGTTCTCAAGAATGCAATGAAGCTGTTGATGACAAAACAGCAAGCAAATGGAGAGTGGCTTCAAAATGGAATCGAGGGCGTGTTTAACCAGTCATGGTATGATATGCTTTTTGGCAGTCCCAATTTAACCGCCATGAAGATAAATGCTAATTTACCTTTCCTATTCTAGCATGATATCCTACCCGAATTACAAGCTCTACTGGCCAATTCGAGCCCTGGGGCTCTACGCTAGAAAGTTCGGCAATGAGGAAATTCTGTAACAACGCGATGCGAGACTCGAGATCTGGAAGCTATCCATTTCCAGCTGCGACTGATAATGTAAATTGCCTAATTTGTTTTCACCGCTACTTGCAATAGAGTATGAATTATACTGGATAGATGCCCATATATCCCTTACATAAGTATAAGTTATTCATCCAATTCAAGTGGTCAAGCGGTTCTATGCTCTTCTAATTCCCTTATTTTGAGCTGCCTCCGGGTAGAATCAACGTCACGTGAATAATAATATGTCCCCAAGGTTTGCCCACATCTCCCAAAACCAACAGGCCAAACTTATGGAATCATTCAATGGATGCAACTACATCCACTTGTGATATTAGCAAACCTCTGAAATCTCACCACATCAATTCTTCAAATCATATAATGAAGCACTAATAGCCTCCTCTTCTACCGCTAGCACCTATTGAAAATCGATCGCCACCTTCATTATTTTGACTATCCCCAAAACCAGACCGACTAGAGAGCTCAGTAAAGCTCAGAATGGACGAAGCCCAACGTGGCGCAAAGGCTCTTTCTGCTTCCAACTTCCCAGCCGCGATTGAGCACTACACTCGTGCCCTCGCTATTAACCCGCATGCCACAGATTACTACATCAAACGGTCAACAGCCTATTCGCGCCTGCGCCCAGCTGACGGGGGTCCCAACGGCCAAGCAGCTCTTCACGATGCCGAAATGGCCGTTGCACTCGGTTTGAAGCGTGCAAGACGGGAACAGATACTGTCCAGCCAAATGCGTCGGGCTATCGTGCTCTACCACTTAGAGAGATATGGGGATGCAGATTTCCTGTTTAAACTCGTGAGGGATAAGGTTGGCCCTGCTGTTCAGAATACTGTAAAGTCTGCGATGACGAATAACAATGGCAGTACTGCTGCTGCGAAGGCGAATCGGGAGCTGGATATTTGGGAGATGAAGGTGGCGAAGTGGGTAAAAACATTGGGAAAGGATGACGAGAGGATGCAGGTCACTGTTAAGGAATACCCTGATATCAAGGTACCAGAGGCAGCAGAGTTGAAGGAGATTTTTCGTAAACAATTAGCTGCGGTTGATGTGGGTGAGGAAAAGGGGTCTGTGGACAAAGGGAAGGATGCGTCCAGGCAAGAAAATGGGCAACCACCCGCGGAACAAGAGCAGTCTGATTCACCGCCAACAGTTGCCCCACAAGCTCCTCTCACGAACAAGGTGCGGCATGAGTGGTACCAGACAGCAGATACGGTGGTTATAACATTGTACGCGAAGGGTGTTCCTAAAGAGAAGGCGGATATTGATATCCAGGAAGACTCGGTATGATTCCCCTCCCATTTCCTCATAGACATTGATATGATGGCTAATAACTATGTAAGCTCTCTATAACTTTCCCCTTGGCCTCCGGATCGGACTTCTCCTTCAACCTTGAACCACTATTCGCACCTGTTGACTCCTCTGTCTCCAAAACGTCTGTGATGTCAACAAAAATTGAAGTTGTTCTCCGCAAGAAGCAGTCAAGTCTAAAATGGGCAGCACTAGAGGGCACACACCGACAAGCAAATCCCACGGGAGCAAATAATGCCGCCCCTCCAATAACACCAACCTCTATACTGTCATCACAGCCCAGCACGTTACTACCTACGGAGGGTGTGCCATCATATCCTACTTCATCCCGCACTGGTCTTAAAGATTGGGATAAAGTGGCATCCTCCCTAACTAAGAAGAAAGAAAAAAAGAAGAGTTCTTCTAAAGGCAAAGAGATCGAAGCTGCTGGTTCTGAAGACGACAATGATGACGAAGGCCTCCAATCCGATGACTCAGACTATGGCACTGGTGATCCCGTTGATGCTTTCTTCAAAAAGCTGTACGCTAACGCAGACCCTGATACGCGCCGGGCTATGGTGAAGAGCTATTATGAGAGCGAGGGAACGGCATTGAGCACGAATTGGAGTGAGGTGTCAAAGGGAAAGGTGGAGCCCAAGCCTCCATCGGACGATTGATTTGTTTCGGATGGAAGTCTTATTCTTCGATATAGAATTTTTACCAAGCAATGAGCTATATCATCCCCCCTACTCCCCGGAACTACAGAAGATGGGTCGGGGTATATCTCGCCGTGCCGGGTTGTTAACGCTTCAGCTGTAGGGATGCCTCTCCCAGCCCGGGCTCTAGTAAGACAATGAAATAGAATGAATGTCATGATTGATGTGGATTTAATAGCTTCTGGCGAATGAAGTCTGTGATTTCATATTTTCAGTTTAGCCTCTTGCTATTCCTGATCACAACATGAGCAGATTTCTATTTGCGGAATTATAATAAGATCTTTAATCTTACTTTGTGCTTATTCAGTCACTGGAATTCAGGTTTATTTAGTTTCATCGAAGAAAAATCTCCCAAGTTAAATCTATACCATTTAAAGAAAGAAAAAAGATAATATGAATAGTAATTATGTCGGACCCTTCCATCACGTAACTTATATTCCATCAAATAGTCATTTTCATGATCAGCAATTTTTGCAATTGATCAAGCTTGTTATTTTGTCAGGTTATAAGACATGTTTTGCATTTAAACATGTTAATTTAAAAGTTATCTTGTCAAAATCAAACTTTCTGAACAATATCATCTTATTTGATATTTTAAAAGATTTTTAAATTTATGTTTATATTTTAATTTTTTAATTAATTAACAACAACAATAATAATAATAATAATAATAATAATAATAATAATAATAATAATAATAATAATAATAATAATAATAATAATAATAATAATAATAATAATAATAATAATAAAATTATAAAATCTCTTGAAAGAAATTTAAAAATCTAGAGTATTTATATATATTAATAAATAACAATAAGTTTTATCTTTAATCTTTTATAAATAAGAAAATAATAATATAAGATAATCTAGCTTTTTATAAAATATTTTAAATAATAGTAATATAAAAGTAAAAAACTAATATAAGAAGTTTTGATATCATAAATTCTTTATTTATTTAGATTTAGAATTTATTTAGTAAAATTATTTTTTTTAGTCTACATCAATCTTTAATTCACTTATACTATTTAAGTTATTTAATATGTAAGTAAGAGTTGAGTGTCATAGCTTTAATCTAGATACAGATAAATAAGTATTTAATTACTGACTTAATAAGCTATATCAATAAAATACTAAGATAATTTCTAAAATATAGATCTTGATAAGGCCTGCTTTATATAGCTTTTAAAATCTTATCATTTTTCTTACTATTTTATTCTTAGCTCATCATCTCTATTCTTAGTGTATTATCTTTTTTTTAACATCTTACTCTTTTCTTAGTACTATTGCTATGCAGTTTCTGTGGAGTAATTGTGAGATAGTTGCTATGCCAATATTTGAATAAAGTCTGTTGTATTCAGTAGTTGTAGTCTGCTCTATCTGATGAACTTATGAGATTGAGTGATCTTGAATGAATGCTGTTCTACATTATTATATTATTTCTCTTTTTAAGTTTAGATATACTCTTATACTGATAGATCATCATCTGCTTTATTCACTAGATAGTTATCTTTTTTCTAAGTTTTTAATTATTTACTCAGTTGTTTTAAAGATTTTATCTTTATTGAATTTACTATGTGAAACTTTTGAATCAGATGCAGAACTCTCTTTAGATTTTTTACTAAATGTCATGTTGAATCATTGTCAAATTCTAATCATTTTACTCAGTATTAAAGTTTTTTATAGATAATATAATTTACTAGAATATTTTCAATCTCTTATTTATTTTCACTTTGTATTTTAACTGATTTTGAAGTCTTATTTAATTGCTCTGATAGAAAGTTATTCACAGCTTTTTATAACTTATCAGAGAAGAATATTGAGTGAATTTTCATACTATCTAATAGATTTAGTTTATAACTATTACTTATTTTCTCAATAATTTTAAAGAAGTTTTTATTTTATTTTATCAGCTTTCTACTTCGTATTGAGTTTTATAATTCTTGAGTGATAGAAAGATCTTCTTCTCTATCTTAAAATTTAACTCATAATAATATCTGTTGATATTTAACTTTATAATTTTTTGTGTTTTTTTTCATATTAACAGCTGCTAGCTTTCAGATTTCTTTTATTTAAATAATATACTTTTTAACATCTTTTTGTTTGAACTTTCTCTGTTTAAACAGTATTTCTAATAGTAGTTTTCAATCAAAAAAAATTTAAAATTCATATATATAGATAATTAAAAATGATATTATTTTAGTAAATCCATTTTTTAGAGCTTTAGCTACATGATTTATTATTAACAATTACTTATTTCAATTGTTCTGATAGTAATTTATGTATAAATATAGTTTAATTATCAGATACTAATTTATAATCTCAATCTGATTATCTGTTTGTATGTAATGAGCTGATAAGAGCTTCAGCTTAACTTTCAATCATTTGATGAATTCATTTCAGAAGTCTGAAATAAACTATAGTTTTTGATCTAATATAATTAAATTTAATACTTTATACTGTTTATAATAATACTTTAAGAAAAGTTTTATCAGCTCTCTGATGTTAGTTTTTTTAATAATAAGAATAAATATGAGCTTCTTGCTTAATTGATAGACAATTATTAATATCATATCATTATTTTTTTTATTATAGAGCTATTTATAAAGTTTATTGAGATGTGTTATTAGACTCTGTTAGAGATTAGCAATGACTTTAACAGTTTCAAAGTCTTATCATAGAAAATTTTCATTTATTAGCTCATTAAATAATTATTTATGTATTGATTAATATTTTTAATTCAGTCATTTCAGTAATATTTTATCTTTACTAATAAGCATAGCTTTTCTTTTCAGAGTACACTATTGACAACTAGTCATAAATCTTCTTTAAAAAATATATTTAAAAAGTAAATTCTTTCTTAATTAATATCATTAAGCATTTTTTAAAGTATAAAAAATCATCTATTAGCTCTTAAAATTGTTTTTCTAATTATACCTTCTTATATTATAAGCTTAATAACTTTATCTCTCTGTTCTTTATCTTTACATTATTTAGAATCTTCATACTTATGTTCAAAGTCTTGACTTCAATAAATTCTTTAATGATTTTAGAGTTTAGTCTTTTTGACTTAAGAAATAGTTATATTCTGAAGTAATTTTTTTGGAATCTTTGATTTATTTAAAGCATCTGTTAGTATATTTTAATAATCAGATTAATGTTAAATTAGAAAGTAAAATTATAAAAAAAAACTCAGTTCAATATATTTATCTGATATTGAGATTTTTAATGATTATAAAATACTTAAGTGCTCAGTGGTCTATTAGAATATTAAATCTCTCTTCTTTTTAAAGTTCCTTAAGTTTAATTTATCATTCTGATAAATCTCTCACTATTACTAGTATTTTTTTACCATGAATTTCATAGTTTCTTTTTATACTATTTATAAATAAAGAGTAGAATATTATAAAATATCACTGTTCATTCTTATATAACTAAGACAGAATATTAACTATAGTATTATCTGATATATCAGTCTTTACACAGATCTCTCAATTCAGATTATAATAACAAAGCACTGAGATATCAGATAGAGCTTTCTTCATTTAATTAAAGATATTTTGATAAATCTCATTTTATTTAAAAAATTGATTTTTCTAAGTTAGCTTAAATAGTGACTTTGCAGTCCAGCTATATTTCTTAATGAAGTGCTAATAAAAGTTTTGAAATTTCAAGAATAATTGAATTTTTTTAATTATATTAAGTACTATTTATCATGATATCACTGTAATCTTCTCAGAGTCAACTTTAATCTTTTGATCAGTGATAATAAATCTCAAATACTTTGTCTATTGAATATGAAACTTATATTTTAAGATACTTGTCTACAGCTCTATCTCTTATAACCTGATTAATATTTTCTTAATATATTTTTTATACTCTTTTAGAGTTTTGCTGTAGATAAGTAGATTATTTATAAAAATAATCATGAACTGATTCAAGTAGTCAAAAAAGATAATGTTTATAAAGTGCTGAAAGATGACTAATTTCTTATTCAGATTAAAAAGCATAACTTTGTACTTGTAAATTTTATAATAATTTCTAAAAATAATTAAATCTTCTGTCTCTAAGTGCATATAGATCTAATAAAAACCTTGTTAAATATCAACTTTGATAAAGTATTTGATCTTATTTAGTTATTTTATAAGCTTATTTATCAGCAAAATTAAATAGTAATCTTTTTTTAAGATTGCATTAAACTTTTGATAATTTATATAGAATCTCAATTTGCTTGCTATATGAGTAATAAGAATTGATGATGTAAAAAAAATAATAATAGATGAGATAAAGCTCTTCTTTAAATTAGTCTCAAAATATTATTTGACTATCTCTAATTTCTTTAAATTCGTTCTGTATAGATGTTAGGCTCAGCGCCCGACCGGCGCCCGGTTAGACTCGACCCGGCGCCCGGCTGGCTCAGCGTCTGACCGAGCCCGACCGAGGCCCGGTGCCCGATTAGGCCTAATCCTCATCACGTGACCACGCGACCATGTGGGTGGTTATAATCCAGGCAGGCCCCAGCACCCCCTTTCATCCCATCAAGCTTAGTATTTCGTTATATAGCAGTTAGCAACGCAGAGAGTTTCCTTATGCAGCTCGCATTCGCTCCCTAACAATAGAGATGTGTGATCAATAGCTTTATTAAAATCAGCTCTCTTCTCAAGCTCAATCTTTTAGTTCACTTCTTTCTGAAAGAAGAATAATTGATCAGAGACAGTTTTTGAGAAGATATTATAAAACTCTTTAAATTCTTCAGTAGCAATTTGTTAATTATTTCTTTATTCTTTAATTTTGTATCAATAATAATCTTCTTTCTTTCTTCAATAATTCAGTCTATCTTATAGAGGTTTATAAAAAAGATCTTTAACTTTTCACTTTTTTGATAGTAATGAAAAGCAATATCTTCAAAAACTATTATTTTTGATGAAGTCTTAAGAGTTGGCTTTTTCCTCTTAGTAGCTTCATGTCTGACTTTCTCATTAATAAGTCTATTATAATGATTGATGTTTTATTGATTCTCTGATCCTGCTGCTGATTTTTCAGAATCTTTCTTAAAATAACTATACTATACTCTTTAGAGATTCTATCTTCAAGCATACACTGATCTGATTAGACTAAATATTGATTTTTCATATCTAGTCATATCTTTTACTCTGTTAATCAGAACTGATCTAGAATTATATCAGTATTTTTCAGATCTATTAGTAGTATTAATATGTTGACAAATTTTCATTCATTCACTTATAAATATAAAGAGATGATTTCTATAATTGAAGTTTCTCTCTGATCATTAAAACTCACAATCTAATGATCTTTCATCAGTATCTTTAGATTTACTTTGAAGACTTTGAAACACCTGTGTGCAAAGCTTATATTGATAAAAATACAGTAAATTGCTTTAAAATATATTAATGATCTTGTAGAAATGACATATTCATTAAAAACTACTTTTGTATTTACAGTAAAGAGATTTTCACTCATCAACTATTTGATATTCAAAGTCTCTAGTATAACTATCTTATCTAAGAAGAAGATTTCTATTGAGTTTAATTTCTTTCTGATTTAATAATGATAATCTCAATATTCACTTTTATCATCTTTGATTTTTGTTTTTATAAGTAGTTTTAAACCACATGATTTTTACTTCAGTAGTTGAAGTATTTAATATATTTTTTTTAATTCTCAGTTCTTATCTTATTTTCAAAAGTCAATATCATCATCACTGTTTCAAACTTCTTAAAATGATTTTCTTTTATTTTTGAACTTAGATGTTTGGCAGCTTTATTATTAGTCTGATTTTCAATATATGCAACGTAGCTTTCTTTTGTTGAAAAGTAATCAGTATTGATAGTTAGCTTGTATTTTATTCTAAAGAGCCAGTTCTCAAAACATCAAATTCTTTCTATTTATAAGATATTTAAAATTATTTAGCTTGACTGATTATTATATCTAATGTGTGTTTATTAGTTTAATCTGTAAAACTAATAAATTCACTATTTGCTATAACATGTTCTTTTTTTTTATCAGATTATTTACTTGGCAGTCAAATTTCTTTCTTTATCTTCTATCTTCATATCATTCTACTCTATTTCTATCTAGAGTATCTTTTGCATTGTTCATAAGATCAGCAATTTTTTGACTTACTCAATCTGTGTTCTTCACTATAGTCTCAATAAACTATCTTTTTGATATGAACTTCTCTGACTTCATGTTTTTTCCAGTCAGAGTCAGTATGATTCAGTTCAATCTTTATTGACTATTAAATCCTCTAATAGCTTCTGATATAATGATCTTCTTATGAATTCAAAATAAAAGTAATAAAAAACTTTCAAAAATTTTTCATCTAAAAATCTACTTTTAAAAGAGCAGGAAAAGTAAAAGATCTTAGTATTATGTCACAGCTTCGATCTAGATGTGGGTAAACAGGTGTTTGATTGCTGACTAGATAAGCTACATCAATGAAGTACTAAGATTATTCCTGAAAGACGGGCCTGGATAAGGCCTGCTTTATGTAGTTCTTAGCACCTTAGCATCTTATCTTTAGCTCATTACCCCTGTCCTTAGCACATTACCCCTTTCCTTAGTGCCTTACCCCTTTCCTTAGCGCCGTTGCTATGCAGTTTCTGTGGGGTAATTGTGGGGTGGTTGCTATGCTGATGTTTGGACGGAGCCTGTTGTATCCGGTGGACTTATGAGGTTGGGTGGTCTCTGGACGGATTCGTTCTACGCCATCGCATTGAGTGAGAAATTTCATGATAGATATGCAGCTTCAGAAATTGCAGATATTTCTTGCTTTTTAATAGCGTTTATTATGAGTTCAAGTCTACTCTCTCTCTCTCTAGAAAATTTAAACCCCTTTTATTATAAATTAATTGATGGCATGATTGCGCGTTAAAGTGGATGAGTTAAGAGAAATTTGAGATGTTTGAATTTGACGGTTCGCTCAGTGGGAATTACATTAGTTAGTTATGTCACAGTCATACTCCTGAAAATGCTTCCAGCCTTCTAACTGCCAGATTCTTCCGTAATGAATCAGTTCCTCTATCGTCTCAGTTCACTGCTCCTCCCTTAACCTCTCTTCGGTATACATATCCTACAAACTCTTCTCTTGTCTCATTCTTCCTCCTCACAATCACCATTCACAACCTTTTCCTTATACAAAATAAATTGTACAAAGATCGCAAGGTCCAAAATGAGTGTGCCCAAACTCCCCAACAGCCACGATGCATTCACCAAAATATACCTAGCATAAATTCTCCTCTGCTCACCTAGCCGGCAAATGCCACGTTCCCCTTTGCACCGCGGCAAATATGCAAATATCGACAATATATAGGTCAGGTTCCCCACGCACGCGAATAGGAAGAAAAGTAACGAAACCCCTTCAGTACTTTTCCTCTTGTAGTTCAGTAAGAGCTGCGGAATACGACTGCCCAAATACAGCGCTGCGCAAAGGTAGCCAAATATTTGGCCCAATGGGTCCAGCTTCAGAGAGTGGCTATCAGATGGCAGTCGGTCTTTGCGCCTGCTCCGCGACGAGCCTGAGCTGACGTACCAGCCTAGCACGCCTGCAGCACAAACGAGGGCAACACTGAAGATGTTGAAGGCAACAATTTGTATGGTGGAGGTATGCTGGAGGGGTTGTGCTTGGGGTGCAGCGGTGGTATTGCTGGCGGCGGTCGGGGTCGGTTTACCGGGATCCAATAACGGCATTGTCGGGGACAAATGGGTGCCATCCA